ATAGGGTTGGGTTAATACTTCAATTTTAGCAGAATAATGAAGTCAATTTATACAGCAAATTATGCCGGTAGTATGGATTTCGTCCAATCACAGATCATCAATACAACCTACCTTGAAAGGACCCCAGCAAGTGGTTTTTAACAGGAAAAGTCCAAATGGCTGACATTCTACCTGCCATTCCAGACTTTACCATCAACAACGGACTTTGGAAATGACTTACTCACTAGACATGCACTGGTGAGCAATTGTGCTCATGTACGTATATGCTGTTGATGCAGAGACTGTAGCTACTGTGGGTGCAGGTTTATCAGAACATTGCTTAGGTCGGTGGTACAGCCGGTTTCGAATGACAGGAAATGTTCTTAAAGACAAGCCACGAGCCAGAGGTTCCCGCTGGCCTTCCCATGTCTGTAACTTTGTGGAGCAATACGTACAAGACTACCCTTCTATGTCGAAAAGCTGCGGCACGAACTACAAGCTCTCTACAAAGCCACTATCAACCTGTCCGACTCAACAATTTGTCGGGCCCTTCGCTTCGACCTAAATTTAATGAGGAAGGTATTGACAAAGCGTGCACGGGAGAGCGTACCAAGAGAGCGCCGCGAGTTTGCGGCTCGGTTGGCACCATACTATAGCGGACTGGACGACCTCGCCTTTATTGACGAAACATCCAACGATGGAAGGTATAAATCATATTGCTATCTAACTTCATATATTAACTAATTGTTGTTATTTATTTTTTTGTATTGATTTTAATATTAAGATCCGTTCTGCGTCTGTACGGCTGGCCGACAAGAAATACCCCCAGCTCAAGTGTCGATTCCTTTAAGCCGTGGCAAACGTGTGTCAATTCTTGGTGCAATGGACGTACAGGGATTTTTTGCGTGGGGAGATACGGAGGGAACTTTTACACGAATGGAGTCCACAAAGTTTTCAAATAGAAAATCCTTCCGTTTTTGAACCCATGGCCTTCGCAACATTCCATTGTCATCATGGACAATGCTAAGATGCACATGTACAAGGAACTGCAAAAGTTTGTCGACGTTACTGGGGCTTTGCTGTTTTTCTTGCCACCGTATTCGCCGGTTCTTAATCCAATAAAGTTGGATTATCGCTGCTCAAACGCTGGATCCAAAGACATGCCAACATGGCATTTTCAGAAGAACCACTGGCTGTCCTGAATGTTGCGATATACAAATGCGCAAGGCAAAAAAAAGAGGTTGGTGAAAATCTTGTAAAAACAAACCGTATCAATTGTCCATTAGCAATGAACGAATAGATTCTCCTTTCTAATTCTCCATCTACTGTGAGGTCTCGTCGTTATGGTCTAGATCTTCAATGTTGTTTGTAGGTGTAGTAGTGTCAATATCTGTCGGGGGCCTCAATGGAGGTCGCAAACTGTAGTTGGTTACCCCAAAAGCTTCCCGAAGATGGCTGATATTTATCTGCAAAGGCACGGTAACGCCGTGGAGGTTCACTCGTGCGATAAGGTACGCCTCCTCACACTGCTGCTGCGTCTCGTTCAGGGATTGATCCATCGCTGCTTGCTGACAATCTATGTATTGTAGCAGCCGGAACGTGACGTTATCTGGAATGGCCATTGGTGCTTCGTCCGGTAGGCGCGATTGAGTGACAGCCATATAGCGCTGTGAAGCAGGCCCAGCTTCAACTTGCTGCTCTCTAAGAAACGCTGCTACCCTTGGTAGCTGCTCCTGAATGCGAGCCGCACTTGCAGGACGTAGTGTTGTTTGTGCTTCAGGCTTCGGTACATAGATGGATAACTCCAAATCGAACGCTGCTTTCCATTATGTCGCAGTCTTGCTCGGTCCCAAATTTCCTGCAATTGAGATTGTAGGGCCATACACTCTTGACAAATGACTCCAAACTGGTTTTGTTTTGCGTTGTTGCTTTGCTTCACGTAGCTGTCGAATTCAGTTCTCTGTTGCCCTGGTAGCTTGCTAGAAAAGTGCTCTTCCACCTTTGCACTTAGCACACGGTAACCTTCAACAACCTTGTCGGCAAACGGTGGTGACGGGAGGCATTTGTCGTTGGCAGCCTTGCAGCGGTTTCCCGTTCTTAAGCGTCAGTCGGCAAGATAGCGCGTCAGGAAGAGGTAATCGAAGCTCCGTGTCGAATGCCACACTTAATTTCAAGAGAGTTCGAGTGAAAATGTTAGCACTATCGATATACGTGTGTCTTACCTGCCATATACTGTAGCTCTTCCGCTGAACCTCCATTCCGCGAGCCACATGTCCTTATGCTTTTGGTCTCTATCCGCGGAGGTGCTGCACTGCTATTATGCTGTACGCATGTACTGACCATCTTGTGTATTGTACATGCTTAGAGGAAGATACTTTGGAGTTGTTACCACAACCTTAACCGTGAGACATGTAAGGTTGCTTTAAGGACTTAAGGTTGCTTTAGTAAAATTTAAAAACATTAGCGTAAAATATTTTTCAAAACTTACGTTACCTCTTAAGTTCGGCTCCTGGTGTTAAGTACGCAATTACTGTAAATAATTTCCTAAGTACGTCAACTCTGAACCGCTCATTCCCAAAATCCGAGTAACGAGGCCGACACGCGGCACGGGGGGGACTCGTTGAACGCGAGGAGGGGTACAGAGCACACAACGCGTGAAGGCCAGTAGTTCACGACTCGGGA